TTTTTAATATGCAGGGATTGAAAGGAAGTGGTGGAAGGGGCAAATGAAGCAGTAAGAGGGTTTCTTTGAGTTAAGTTATGAAGAGAAGAAAGCAAGCGTGGGAAGTTACGGTAAAGTCGTAGATAATATGGGGTATGGCGGAAACTTCATTGTAAAGTCCGAAGATCAAATATGGGACTGGGTTGATCGCCTCAGTCTCAGAGCATTTCCTCCTATTGCTCCTCATGAGAATATCCATGTTTGGCCTCTCAAACCATCCAATTTCAGGTCCCTTGACTTCTTCTCCCCCAATTTCTCTCATTACCATATCACCATCTGTATATACACATACATAACACTATATATATATATATATATATATATGTGGAATATATTGCAGAGAGCAGTGGAAGCATATGTGGGAGAGGCGAGAAGAGTGATGGACTCCATACTTGTGAACTTAGCAGAAGCTCTGTCGCTTGAAAACGACGACGTATTCCTCAAGTACTTCCACCCCAAAGAGAGTGAGATCAAACTAAAGCTGAACTACTATCCACCGTGCCCTTCCCCTGACCAAACCCTGGGTCTCATCCCTCACTCCGACCCAAGCGCCCTGACCCTCTCTCGCAGTTCGGCTCTAGCGATGGCCTGCAAGTGTTTCAACCATGAGGACCGAACCTGGCTCACTGCGTCATGGCCACAGGCCAGCAGCTGCTGGTGTCAGGGACTGCTGTGGGACTTCTTGAGATCATGAGCAATGGAAATTTTCAAAGCTCGTGGCACAGAGTTGTTCCTTTGAGGGACGTGGCACGTGGGTCCATTACTTTGTTCTATAACCCGCCACCCAAAACCGTAATTGAGCCAGTGGCTGCTGATGATGATGATCAGGATGATGGCTATAGGAACGTGGTTGTGGAGGACTATGCGAAACATTACTACAAGGTTGTTCCTACTGAGGACAAAATGACCACCGACTTCGCTAAGCTCAGTTAATTCAATGTGGCGTGTGCGATATCGTTGTTTTTAAATTATATGCATCCCATGGCGCGGACTACAGCAGAAGATAAATTTGTGTGTCTGTTGTTTATTGTTCTGTAACGTAATGAAAGATGTAATAAAATGTCTATTGTTTTTTGCAACGTGATGAAAGATCTCTTGAGAAACACTGCCGTTGTTCCTGTACACACCTTCCCCCACTATATACATACCTGCTTCTTCAACTTCTTTCTCCTTTCTTTAATTTGTCACAAGATCTTGTGAGCTAAACTGGTTCAAATCATCCATGTTGAGCACTATATTGACTCATGTTTAGTAATTAAGATGGGTTCTAACAAATGAAACAAATAACGACAACTTTCATGTTTTAAGTTCTTTTTTTTTTTAAATCAACAAGAATTGAAGCTAACTCATGGTTAAAACTGGGTTCAAATGAACATTGAGTGGTGGACATTGACATTGATCTGGCGATGTTTGAGATGAAGGATGGCTTAATTGTGAAAAAATACGAGCCTTTGTAAGTTCATTTAGCATCATATATGAAGCCCATTATGTATATAAAACAAGGATTTTGGGGCGCATTTAAGGTTGTAGAGGACTGTGTGAGATATTGCTATAAGGTTAGTCCAGCCATGGGGAAAAAAATTGCTTTCAGTTTTGCCAAGGTAAATTAATATGCTGACACGAAATTTGGTGTATGTGCAATTCTTACTATAAATATACTGCATCTCTGTGTGTGATATGTCTAGAATGTGGTCAGAGGTAGACGCATTATTAAATGAACTCTAGTCTACCATAAGGACGCTTCCATTTCCTAGCAAAGACTGATCTATGCTTTTATCGTTTCTCGTATATATGGTTGGAAGTCATTCATGGTATGCGTAAATTAATGGGTTCTCATATACACATTCAACTGTAGTGCTTTGGTACTAACAGCTTGTATTAATTTTGATGAAAGGTACAGATATAAATGTATATACACATTGCTGACAAGTCTTTCATTTTATATGTTCATATATGTTGTTTATATTTTGTTTGGCCTACCATTATTTTATACTGTCTACTTAAGCACAGTATTGTTCTTGGGTAAATCAACTTCACTGGGGATAAATTGATCTACTCATACTTAAACTGAGTTCCCCAAACAAATATATGAGCTTAAATATGCAGTTATAGTTTAAGAAAATTAATATTTCTGTGTGAGATGAATATGCAGCTCCATAAATAAGGCCCAGCTGGCTCAACCAACGGTTGCTCAGAATTGTAATACCTTTATCTAAGCCGAGTCAGTATACTATTCTGTGTATGACCGTCGCCTAGGAACAAACACCAAGCTTAATTAGAATCATGTATGCAGAACTAGAAAGCTGTCCTTTTTAAGGTTTCTCTGTGGAATATTAAGCACAGGATTACGGACACCTATGGCTCTTATCTGGACGTTGCTCTCTATTGCTATATTGAGATTTGATATTATCAAGCAAGTACCAATTATATACTGACGTTAAGTGTGAGTGAATTTGAACTTAGAGCGTCAGGTACAAGTGAACCTGGGTTGATACAGTAAAATGTGGCGTCTTCTACTATTCTCACCATTTATACTCTCCCTCAATTTTAGGTTTCCTTCCTAGCTTGTTCCTCAACACTGCCACAAACAACCCTTGTTCATTGACTTGCTGATAAACTTCAATTTTAAACATGGACGTTAAGGATTATGCTTTTCTAAAACTGGATATAGCACAGATATTAAATACAATACCAACCAGAACTAAGCAAAAGCTTATTAATGAAGGAATGTCGCTGGGAAAGCATGTGAAGGCTTTGATATGTATACTACTACTTCCGTCGTATTTATAAGATCTCATTTGTAGTCAAGTCTTCTAAATAGAAGTGAAGGTAGTATTTATTAATTCAAACTTTTTAGATTCTCAACAGAGAGAAAATGTGTATGATGCATTTTAAGAGAGACTAAAGAGAGATAATAATTGCGAAGAAACGTGTAAATAATATATAATCATATTTTCTGCACTGGTATATTATATATGTGTGTGTATATACATGTATAGATGAATAAATGAGGGTGGTTAATGCTGATTTGTCTCATGCTTCGGCTGTTTCTCTCCTGGCGAGTCCATTGACAGCCAAAAAGCCTGTTGGAGTTTTTACTGCTGACCTGCAGTCTGTTTTGTGGGCTCATTTCTTTGTCCCAGGGTTGTTTTCTTTCTTTCTTTTTAATAGATTATTTTATTACTTTATTATATTCTACTTATTACAAACAAAGTGTTATAAATAGCACGAAAATAGTATTATTTTTTGTTATAAATTTATCTTGACAATGTATTATTGATAAATATATTTGACCGGAAATTCAAAAATATAATTGATAAAGAATATTCTTCATATATTGAATTTAGCATTTAGATTGTTTATTTTATATGTTGAATTATACAATTAATCAATATCAATTATCACTGTCTTTTTTTTTCTAAGAATTATCAATTTTAATGTAAATTATGATACTTACGCGCTACATTATTGTTCATATAAATATGATTCATCTCAAATTCTGTAATGATTTAATTCAAGGCTTCAAGTTGTTATTAAACTCATGGTAATTTTATGCACCCAAAAATATAATTGGATCGTAATTTTTATTTAAAAAAATAAAGATATGAATACAATTGCAATTGTTTAATTTTTTAAATGCATACATGTTCTAAGAATATTTAATTGTTGTGTTAAAAATTTCAATTCAATAGAAAATAATTAAATACACGCTAGACCGGTATTTCCTTATGTTTTGTTGAATCTTTTTACAATATTTAATATTATAAAATCAATATACATATATTTATAGGACAATAACAAAAAAAAAGTTGAAATTTTGAAAATACCAAATAAAAAATATCCATAAAAATTATTTTTATTTATAAATTTAAATTTGTCAATACTAAATAAAATTGTCTATTTGATTGAAAATTTGTAATTTTGATTTTTTTTTATAATTATTCTCCTTATATTTATTAGTTTTGTATTAAAAATATTACGGTATTGCCCCCTTCTTTTTGTCTGTTTCGTCCGTACATGCTCCTTCTTTTGATTAGACCTTTCACTCGTCGTTCGTCAAATCATATCTTTTACTTCCCCCATTCTTCTCACCCTTACACCTGGATGGCTCCGATTCTTTCCCTCCAAAACGCCTTTCCTTCCTTCCATCCACCCCATTTCGTATTCCTGACGTGGCATTCCCTCATCACCCCCCCACGTCACGCTCCTACCCCCGATCTCTGGTATCGGGAGAGGAGAGGCACCACACGGCCGTCGTTTGCTCCCCAGGGATTTTACGCTTTTATCCTTCCACCTGGAGCTTCCTTTAGCCCAACAAACTAACAAAGTCCTCACCCTAGTGTCTATTTCTGGTAATGCGTACAATAAACTAATAAAGTCACCCACGAGCCACGAAAGACAAAGTGCCAGCTTTTTATTTGCCGAGATTTTATTTACATTGGCCACTTACAGCACTCCTTGTCGGACACGTGGCTCTTCCCCACTGGTCCATTCGGTCGCGTACTTTTTCAGAACATCTCAAATGTTTTTACTGAATAATTATAAAATTTTATTTATAAACTATAAGTAAAATCTTATAATTAAACACGTAGTATAAAACACAACTAAAGAGCCTTTGAAGTTTCAGCATTAAATCCTACTACTACTTATTATTATGGGTTAATATAATTTTTTATTTTTTAAATTTGTTTTTATTTTACTTTTAATCTTTTAAATTTTAATTATGAGTTTTGGTTCTTTTATGTTTTTATTAAATTATAAGACAAATATTTTAAATAAAAAATATTTAGAATTTAAAAATCAAAATTAACAAAATGATAAAAAATTTAAAAATAAAAAATTATATTAATCATATTATTATTATGTTAATATAATTTTTGATTCATCCGTATTATAAAATTCCCTGCAATTTTTCGGCCAAGGGTAATTGTAACATGGTTGAAAAAGTAAACGACAATATGTCACCAAGAAAAAAGATAATAATTAATTAATGTATTAACTAAATGTCACAAATAATCAAGATTACCTTAACTCCATCCGAATCGAGGCCCCTCAAAACCATCACCGTTGATTCTAACAGAAAGAGGACATTGACAGAAATAAAAACTACAAGTAACCTCTCTCTCTTGCTGACAACAGATATTAAAAGGAAAGGACAACTAAAAAACAGAGGCGAATTCATATGGTGATGATGAATAATGAGGATACTGCAGAGGAGGTCTATTCCCCGGCAGGATCAGGGGATCGCGCCCGCTTGTTGAGCGGCTCGGCTTCGCTGGTTGACGCTGGGTTCTCCGAGCGAGTTTCGCAGCTGCCGCATGAACTAACAGCGTCGAGCACTCCCACTGGACTCGAAGGCCGCTCCGGCTCGGCTCCGGGGCATTTATAGCCAGCATAGGGACACGTGTCCACCACGTAATCCTCCATTAGTTGGTGACAGCTTCTCACCATTTCCTGTCCCCGAAGAAGAAAGTTTCTTTCAATAAATAAAGACACCAAATTTTGTCACCCACACACGCACACTCCTTTCCATGCTTCTCACTTTCTTCCATTTTCTTTTCTTTTCGGGAACCCAAAAAATACTCAGCCCTTAATCTGCGTTATACACAATGCAGCTGGAATCATTTGACGTTATAATGCAAAAGTCATTTTCAAGGTCACAAACACGTTTAGTAATTACGTTCCCCGTTCTGATCCAATAATTTACCTATTCGAATTATTAAAGACGTAAGATTTATTATAGCACAGAAATAACCTGTGAAAGGGTAAAACAAGATTATGAATAATTTATATTCACGACTAAGGAGTATGCGGGTACTTTGTTTACTCCATCATGGAAGAACGGCGGCGATTGGCCCTGGCCAGCTGAACAGAGAACCGCAGCGGCCGCTATGGCCGACGGCGCAAAACCCAAGAAATCAATAACTGTAATGTTATTCACAGAGATCGGAGTAGTGAGTTAGATAAATCACAAATACAGGGATCCATTGAGAAAACCGTTAAGTGGAGTCAGGTATATGTGGTACCGAGGGCAGTGCTGAGGATGAGATTGGAAGCAGCGGAGAAGAGCCGGGCTATGGAATCGGGTTGCGGGTCGCAAGAGAGCTTAGAGATGAAGTAATGGAGATAATCGAAGGGTGTTATGGAGCGTAATCTCCAGCTTAGCTTGGTCATGAGACACAGCTCCATTCTTTGAATCGTTTTGGGTTCGAATACAAATCTGGGATCCACTAATTGAAGGTCCAGTAACAGAGGCACTTCAGGTTCCTCCATTTTCGCCGCTAAAGACAAGCATGCCACTGATAGCAGATGATACTCCCACTGACTTTGTCGCTGCGAATAACAAGAAATCACGTCAGATATTTCCCCGGGAAATCTGATATTTTCTGGAAGAACCTCGATTTTCTTCGCATGGGAGGTACCGGAAGTGGAGAGCAAGACAGAAAACGATCGAGGTAGTTGACTGAGAGGAACGCCGTTACCGGACGAAACTCGTAGTGTGCGCGAACCTGCATTTTCCACAGATCGACAGACAAATCAAATCAGAAAATCCAACAAACAACTGTTCAAATACGTTATGTAACTGGCGCGTCAGGCGTGTTGATGCGGACCTTCAAGATCCAGTTGATGGAGTCTTGGCGAGCGGTTACGTCGATTAAACGAAAACGGCACCGCCGCAGGTAATCTGGGTCGGGCATGTGCTGTGCCTCGACGTCGATGAGTCCGCCGATGGTTGCGTCGTCTGAAGGAGGTGAATACGGCTGCAAGTACGGCGGCGACGTCCTTTGGTTTTCACCGTAGACAACTTCATCGGCAACCTCACCGCACAGCAAGTCACCGGCGGCCGGCGAGCAAGACATTGTGTAGGTGGATGGTGAAAGAGTACGAAAGTCCGGTCACAACTCCCAACAGCAATGATGGCGCTGCGTTTGGTTTGGTCATGGCTGGGAATCAAGATCCTGGGCTTGACATTGTTTAAAAGCTGGATAGAAGATTTTTGTACGGCGTGCTTCGTTTGTCTGTTTTGCTTCTGCGGGTGAGTTACAGAGCTTGAGAAATGAGGAGGGAGGAGTCGGGAAGCAGGGACGAGACAGGGGAAAAGAGAGAAGCGAAAGTGGGAGGCTAAAGGGGAGCAAGCGTATTAATGCTAATGAGATGTGAGGTGGTGATTTCTCCGTCGCTATTTGATGGATTATTTCTCATACTTTCATATTTTTATTATGGGACATATTTCTTTTTGCCAATAAATTGTAATGGGACAATTACGTCAAACGACGAGAGAAGTACCATATGCTAAAAGGTCTTTAAAATTATAAGTATTCTGAAAAGTTAAAGGCCAAATTCTAAATTGTAAAATATTCTTTTTGCCGATAAAGTGTAAAATATTTTATAAAAAAACAATATCATGTTGATAAAAAAATTGTTAAAATTAATTATGGACGATAAATATGTAAAAATTGTTATTTTTTCTCACAAAAATTTTTATTAATAAGAAGAGAAAAAAGTATAGGACAGAGTAAAAAAAAATACTCCTTCGGTTCTTAATATATGACTTAATTGTTGAGTTGATTTTGGTCCTAAATATAAGACTTACCTCTCATATTTATCAATTTTCTCTAAATTACCTTTATAGATATTTTCTTAACTATAATTAAGTAGAAGAAGAAGAGGTATTAAGAAAGATGATTATAGTATTTTATGAAAAACGTGTCACCTTTCTTATAATTAACTAATTTACCTAGCTTTCTCGATATAATCAAATTAGTTAAATAGGTCTTATATTAAGGATCGGAAGTGTATTAAAGTAAAAAGAATTGTGTGAGAGAACAAAAATGTGGCGGTTGAAGAGTGTGCATAAATCAGGAAAGAAATAATGCAGAATGAGCGAGTCAAGATAGGAAATTAACAAGAAAAATTGAGACATCATCTAAGTATACTTTTATAAACAAAAACAGGTTGTGGTGGGTCTTTCTTGTAAGAATAAACAGAGGGATTAGATTGTAAGCGTGGCAAGACAAAAATTGCAAGGTATAATTGGATGATTTCGAAGTATGACTAGTGAGGACAATTCTTTTGTTATTATCGTACTTTCGTGTTAAATCATGCTCCTTGTTTTCAATTGTTTCTATTGTACATAGTTAACTTGTGAATTATTGCTTCAAATCATTATTTAACAATGGCGAGATGTATGCAATAGTCCTTGTATAGTTCTCATTAACTGTTCACATGGAGCATGCTGCTTTTGTCTCACTAATAATTGTATGAGGACTAAAAGATCAATTGCTTCTATTCTACATCATGAATCCTGTTAATTATTACTCCTCCGGTCCTAATTATAAGATCCAATTGACTTATTTGAGGAGATTAAGGAAGTAAGTTAAGTTGGTTATTTATAATAAATAAGTGTTGTCATTCCTAAAATATCCTTGCTAATTAAGTATATTGGCTAAAACTATCATTATTAGAAGGATTATCTTGGAAAAAATACATAAATATAAGAGACAAATGGATTGGGGTCTTATATTTAGGACCAAATAAAAAGTCAAATGGGGTCTTATAATAAGGACCGGAGGAGTACTAATTTTGGTTCTTACATGCAATTCTCTCCCATTATATACTAAGTTTTACATTTAAGAACAGCATTTTATTTTTATTTCAACTGGGTTTTAAAACGGAAACATGTAATTATGTATTGTCGGTTCTAATTACAAAACTTCATTTATAGCCAACAAAATTTTGCAATCAGTACTCTAACAAAAGTGATGTTTTCATGAAAAGTCAGAGATTTCTTGATTCCCCTTGTCTGTGTGTCGAGTGTTTTTTTCGCGATTTTAAGTAACCCAACCGAAGAATTTGTGCCCCCATTATTTATGAATTTACAATAAACAGAATAAATACATGAAAATCATGTGTTTTTTGGAACTTTTCTTGTTTGTTTGGCCAACTGTATTTGTTGAAACTTGAAAATTTATAAATTCTTTCTTTTTAATTGACAAAAACACTGCTTTAAAAACTGGAAAAGTGATCAGAATAACAACCTGAGAGGCTATATGTTCGTTTTACGGGTTGGTCAATTGATAGATAATCATAAATGTAGAGTCTTGCCTTAGGTGAACATCTCTGTAAATATTGAAAGAAATACTATATATCGAAGCCCTTTTCTTTTCTTTTTTTTTAAGATTCCCATGAGAAAAATTATCCTTAAGAATAAAATCAGGTTAACATGATTTTTTATTTTTCAAGTTTATTTTTATTTTAGTTTTGATTTTTTAAATTTTAAATCATAAGTTTTAATTCTTTTAAAGGTAAAATAATTCAATTTTTTATTAAATTATACGAAGCAATACTTTAAATGAAAATAAACTTGAAGGACTAAATCCTATGATTTTAAACCTGAGAAACTAAAATCAAAATAAAAATAAACTTGAAAGAATAAAAATTATACTAACCTGTGAAACAACACACAAAGTATGAAAAAAAAATCTTCAAATCAGAGAAAAACAACAGGAACAAACCCTAGCCAACTTCTTCACACAAGACTTTATGATTAGCATCCCTATTTGAGATTCTAAAGAAGAAGGTATTCGGCATAGAATCCAATCAGAAGGACACATTTCTTTAAAAGAGCACTGGTAAGCCAGTTAGTAATCAAGTTGACTTTTCTAAGAATCTAAATAATATTAAATAATATAATAGCCCACCAATAAAAGTTTGGTATAACAGAAAGAGCTAGTCCCTCACAACATAACAAACCAAAGTTCAAATCCCTACTGAAAAAGGTGTTCACATTTAGTGCCCAATAATACCTCGAATCGGATTATCTTTAATAGAAAGATAACTATACTTTAATAAATAAATAATATAATGGTCCCGATCAGTTTCCTTTTAATAAGAAACTATCGAATAGCTATGACATTCTTGTTTACACAAGACACAGGTTCTTTACTATCAGATTCATATACCACATTTTCCAAATCTTCGTTAGAGACTCTAACCACAAAACTAATAGCTTGTCTGGTAAAAACTGCGTTCGCAATGATTATAAATTTTATATAAGCACCGGAATTTCATACAAGTATGAATGAGTTAAATCCCTCTGTAAATAAAATAATCATCATCAATTAATTTTATATCTAAAATTTAGAAAGCCAGCTGGAGTGCATCATAATTAATGCTCCTCGATTTTCTGGTTCCTTTTTCTCCCCAACTCTTAGCCCAACCCTCCGTGTGCTGGACTGATTAATGCCAAATCATCGTGAAGCCGCACATGTGATAATAAATTTTGAAACAAAACAAGTATACTGTAGGAGTAATAACAAATTGTTAAATTGTTAAAAAAAAAATCCTAGAAACGTTTTTCTTTTTGGTCAAATCTAAATAACGTCTGTTAATGACTATGATTAAAAGTGGATGTCACGCGGACAGTGACATAATTTGAAGTGTAATAATTGTGAAGCAGAGAAACGTTTTAGCCAAACCAGTCAGACACAGAGGAGCAAGTCAATGTGTGCGTCTCATTTTGGAAGAATTAGAACCTGTCCTTATTTTATTTAATTTTATTCCTGCATTTTTTTCTTCAATGCTAATATGAAAAACTCTTCTCCACCGTTTTGAAAACAATAAATGAGATTTTTTTTTGCTTATTTTAGCCTACGAAATTTTCAGTGATACTATATTTATGCATTTCAACTAAAAAGTTACGTTAATCATGTGAAGCAAAATTTCATCGAGTTTGTTGCTCTAGAGATTGTAAAGAAGCCAATCCATTGCGAAAGGATAACATTGTTCACGAAAGAGCGAGAAAACTGTCATCAGTTCTTGCGCGGGATCAAATCACGATCGAAGCCTTCATCTTCCTCCAATCGAGTATAGGTTTCTCTCCTTGAGTCCGTAAAACCAGAGAATAGCCTATCCACCTAATATTTTTGATCTTGCTCTTCTCAAACAACACAGGATGACCGATCACAACCAGCACCAGCAGCAACCCGTTGGAGTTCCACCACCGCAAGGTCCTCATCCTTCACTTTCTCTTCGTGCATTTGATCATCGTCTTTATAGGCTCGTGATTATCGACGACGATGTCAACATTATAGGAATTTATAATCTCACTGTGATTTTGAATTGTCTGAATCTGCAGGGTATCCACCGTTGGAGACAGTTTCGAAGGACAGTTATCCTCAGCCGGGGCACTCATCGCCTGGATATCCACCGCCAGGATATCCGCCGCAGGGATATCCATCGCAGGGATATCCGCCGCAGGGGTATCCGCAGCAGGGATATCCTCCTCAGGGATATCCGCCCCAAGGATATCCTCCCCCGCCGTATCCTGCCGGCCAAGGATATCCACCGCCGTACTATGGACCTCAATACGCTCAACAACCCCCGCCACCGAAAAAAGATTCCGCCGACGATTGCTTGACAGGATGGTAAGTCCTTCTTCTTCTTGTCTTCCCTGTCGTTCTCTGTGTTCTTTGTGATTCAGTGCGATCCGGTCACCACCGGTGATTCCTCTGTGTCGCGCGGGGCAGGGTTCCCGCGTTGTTAGGCGTGGTATTCGTGTTTTCTTGGCTGCATTTTGCTGCGTACCTTTTGCTTTTCCCTCTCTTCTCGGTTGATTAGGGATAGTGATTTCGTCATTTTTCAGTTCCATAATTTATTTTTTCGACATTGTTTTCTCAAAGTCGTACTCCTTTTTATTTATTCTTTGATTTTGATTTCATTTTACATATATGCAGAATCTTAAAGTTTTAAAATAATTTAAATCTTCCCACAAACAATGCTAATTTCTTAAAAACATTTATGATGGTTAAGCATTACTATTTATTATTTTTGAAGTTAAGGAGGCTTTTGGTGTCATTATTCATTGGGCTTTAAGGGAGACATGTAGACTGAGATTTTATAAATTTATATTTAAGAACTCAATTAGAATAACTTATAAGCAGTTTTTTAATTATAATTTACGAAATATGATATA